AGCAATTTTTTTTTAATATCCAAGAGCATGGGTAATCAACTTTCTGAGTTTAGAGAAATCTAAAATTTTCTTTATTTTGCCCTCTCACTTAACTCAATAGTTAAGCTGGTGTTTGTAAATAATTACCTAGTTTCCTATGTTCTGAATTGTAGAGCTAGTCTTGACTCTTTTCCTTCAAAATAGCCAAACTCCCATGATATTGTTATTCAGATTCCTGGCTTTTTCTCCCACTGCTTTTATCCTTATTCAAGGCTGGCCCTCCTCACAAACTCCCATTGTCTTACACATAAGAATCATGATAGCATTCTAAACAGTTGACGTCTTTCATGCATCACCCTTTAAAAAAATGGGCAAAAGTTTTCAATGATTCCTGGTTTATAAAATATAATTGAAAATACTTAATGATATTCAAGAAATGCCTTGATCCTTTTCCAGATTCTATTTTCTTATAAATTCTTCAAATTAGTTGATTTATTCTGAAAAATCATAAATGTAAACAAAGGGTAGATACATTTAAAGTTTAGCTATTTGGTAAAATAAAGTAATAGGTATCATAATGAGTTGACTTTGTTACAGAATCACACATTTCCCATGAGCCTTTGCTTTTGTGAAATTCTTAATCAAGATTCCAAAGTTCTTGGCAAAGATTTTCAAATACCACAATTTTCATGAACAGCTTCAAACCATTTTGTATGAACAAAATATCAAAAAAGGATATCTGACACTAGTGTGAGGAGGAACTAAGGATTCTTATCTATATCTTTATGTGTGTGTGAGAGAGACAGAGAGCCAGGAGCAGAGAGAGAGAGAGAGGAAGAGAGAGAATCTTAAGCAGGCTCCACACCCAGTGCTGAGCCTTACATGGGGCTCCATCCCACCACCCTGGGATCATGACCTGGGCCGAAATCCAGAGTCAGATGCTTAAACAACTGAGCCACCCAGGTTTCCCAGGAGCTAAGGATTCTTAAATATTATTTAGAGTAGGAAATAAAGTATCAGTACAACAACCATTTGCTTAGTCCACATTTCTTGGAAATCTACCTCATTGCTCATTTCCACTGATCTGAGATGAGCCCTGACCACTTTGAAGATTCACCTTTATAGGTTAGATGTCTAGA